AGAGGACATATGAAGCGTGAATGTCCTAATGAGAAAAGAGTGTTGCTCACGAGAGATGGATATGCATCCGCTAGTGATGAAGAGGCAGTTTCTGACACTTCTAGTGAAAAATCTAAGAATGCTGAAAATGTGGTTGCGAGTTTTGAAGCTGCTGAATCATATCCATCTTTGATGGTGCAACGCGTGCAAGAGGATTGCATTGAGGATAATGAACAGCGCTGGAATGTTTTTCAGTCTTAGTGCAAAATCAATGACACCAATTGCAAGCTGATTATCGATGGTGGAAGCTACACCAATGCAATCAGCAAGGAATTAGTGGAGTCTTTAGGATTACTTGTGTGGAAACATCCACAGCCCCATCGTGTTGAGTGGATGCATCACACTGGAAAATTGAAAGTTACACACATGGTGCGCATATTTTTTTTGATTGGCGACTATACTGATACGGTGATATGTGATGTTTTGCCAATGGATGCATGCCGCCTATTGTTGGGAAGGCCATGACAATATGATCGTGGTGCCACACATGACGGGAGGTTCAACACTTATTCATTTTGGAATAATGGTAAACGACATATGCTGCGACCAATGTTTGTTAATGTCATCAAGATAGATGTTAATATTTCTCCTCGGAAAAAGAATTGCAACGCTTGTTTCGAAACCGAAGACGGCTTCAATTCAAGAGGGAGAGGATGATATACCCATCAATGCCACAATTATCCTTCCTGCTGCAGGTTTACTCGGGCCAGCTCCAAGTATTGGGCAGAAGCCATGTGTAACCCCAAACATGTTACAACTTGGCTCATTGTTCTTTGAGATTTCACCAATCTAGCTAAAGAAGGACACGGTGAAGCCAAACTCCAGGACTCCGCCGAGGTGAATTAGTATTGAGCTTTTCATGTACGGAAGTAGTCCCAAGTGTGCAAGCAACCAAGTTTATTTTAGTTTAGGCCCGTGATCAGCGTGGCCGGAGAGATTAATTAGTTTAAGAGTTAAAGAGTACTACTAGTTTAGAAAAGTCATCCACGTACAAGTTAGTTGGCTAGCTTAAATAAATGTATCTCTCCAAGATGTAAAAGAAGAGGATCGTTTTTTGTTAGTTTCGGTTAGAGTTTTACACGGCCGTACATACGGCTGGTGGGAATCGCCTTATATTAAGGTATCGTGAGTTGTATCAAGGGGTCAGCTTTTTCGACAGTTGAATACAAAAATATCAGAAAAACGCCTCACGGCGAGGGGCACCCATGATGCGTTCTTGCGATTCCTAGGGTTTCGTTGCTGCTGTGCCTGTGTTGATCTCGTATCAATATTCGGTATAAAGTCTACTTCTTTGGCTTCTTGCTATCTCAGTTGGATTCAAAGGCTTCTCCTCTTCTACATCTGTTTATTTTTCTGCGACTTTTGTTGCCGCTGTTCATTCTTATTTTGCAAGTGCCGTGAAGGATCGGACCAACCAGCGACTCGTCGGCTAGTCGAGGCATATCATTTTAGGAAGGTGATCGCGACACTTTGGATGGTTACATATGGCTCTCCCACAAATCCATGGGATGACAAATTGTTGAATGGTTGAAGATATAATTATAAAGTGCATAGAAATGTTTGCTGGAACTATTGTGAGTGTGTATGGAGAGCAATATCTTGGGGGACCCAATGTAGAGGACACAACCAGACCTCTAGCGGTTCATAAAGCAAAAGGCTGGTCCAGATGCTAGGGAGTCTTGATTGTATGCATTGGTGGTGAGAGATTTATCCTGCAACTTGCTACGACCAATTCACCGAACGTTGCAAGGATCCAACAATAATTTTGGAAGTTACTGCCTCCAAAGATTTCTCAAACCACTACTTTGGGTTGCCCGAATCTCATAATGACATCAATGTCCTGCAGAGATCTCATTTGTTTACAAGACTAGCTGGTGGTACCTCTCCACCTTGCAACTTCAGGGTGATTGAATGACCATCACTATGACCAAGGCTACTATCTAACCGAGGGCATTATCCATCTTGGTCGATATTTTTAAAGAATTTTTCTAATCCTGGGAGCAGGAAACATAAGCATTTTTTCAAGGTGTAAGAAGCTCAAAGGAAAGATATTGAGAGGAAACCAGAGTGTTGCAAGCAAGGTTCTTGATTGTTCGATGGCCTGCTCATTTCTAGAACATGTCTTGACAAATATCATGACATGTTTGTGTGATCCTATGCAATATGATCATAGAGGATGGGAGGGATGTGCCAAGTCCCGTTGATTATGAAGATATTGGCGTCATCATTAAACCTCGTATGCACACATGATGCATTCAAGCATTTCTTGATGCGTGTCGGAAGATTGAATACTAGACCTCTCGTCGTCAGTTGAAGGAGAATCTCGCTGAGCATATAGGAGATAGTAATGTCTAAATTTATTTAAAATTCATTTTTTGTTACTTGAACAATTTATTTGATTGGATTATTCATTTCTTTTGGATTATCTATTAATTTGAATTATTTGTCGTGTTTGCATTAATGGGTTTTGCAATAATTTGTTGCATTATTGAATTGTTTGATCTATATTGTTGTAAATAAAGTATAAAGAAACCATGAAAGAAGGAGTGCGGCGTTTCGATGCCCAGGCTCATCTGCAACCGGTCAGAAAAAATTTAAAACAAATACTTAAAAAAATCCATTTTTTTGTGTGGTAGATAACTTGATGCATCATTTGGACTTGTGAGAAACTCTCAGCAAAAAGGACAAATCGGGCCAGAACAGTGCGTGAACAGTAAACATTTTTACAGACCCCAAATTTATCTTTTTTGTCGAGAGCTGCTCGGATGTCCAAATGATTTGAAATTTGGAGTGGACCTCACACATCAAATTGTCTACCACACAATTTTTTTTAGATTTTTTTTGAAATTTTCTATTATTTATTGTGATTATTTTTGTCAAGGCAGCTGCAACTGAGCCTGGGCTCAGAAGTGGATTACCGTGAAAGAAATATGAAAGCCACATTATAGCGACTCTTTGTTTACGCACAACCTCCGTAGCCTCCAAATGCATATGAAGCGCTCCGTATGCTTTATGGAGGTTGCCAATACGGCGACTCTGCTAGAGTTGCTCATATGTCTCTACTCCATACGGCCATCCTAACAAGTTTGTGTTTTCATTTTTCTTTGCGTCCATTGCAAGATTGTATGATGTATTTTGGTTGTATTATAGGTATGGTTCTTTTGAACGAAGAAGAAGCCTCTCTTGTTATAAAAAGAAATTTCTGCCAAAAAAGAGGTTTTGTGTTGGAAACCTTATTTTTTTTCTGGAGTACAACCTCCGTTTGGAATTAACTGTCGCTGTAATGAGTCTATCTAGACGCGACTGAGGGACCAAAAATATGGATTTTCTTTTAAGAAAATGTAAAAATATGTTTTTTTGAGCAACTGTAATGGGTGCATCTAGACGCGATTGAGGGACTAAAAACATGGATTTTCTTTTGAGAAAATGTAAAAGTATGTATGACCGATCTAGCGAGCGGCCGGCTGCTCGCTAGTTGTCCCGAGCGGCCGGTCTAAAACAGACAATTTTAGTCCCTAATCCATAAAAGATAATAATTTGTCCCTTCCAATTGATAAAACAACTCTAATTAGAAAAAGTACCATGTACTAAAAAAAATACTACGAAAGCAAACATGTGAACAGATATGAACGTATTTATTTTGGGTTTTCAAATTTTTGAAAAGTGATAATTTTTAGATCGCAATTCGGAATTAAGATCCGTTTTCATCGTTGGAACCCTTGCGATGTGCTCTTCAAAAGTAGATCCCATATGAGGATGTTTCGACGAACTAGTCTTCCTGCCAACTAAATATCAATATGTGTGCAACTAGAGTCCATGCCACGCCAACTAAGCATATGCACGTGCCAACAGTCCTTCTGCCAACTAAACATCAATGTGTGTGTAACTAGACTACATTGCCGCGCCAACTGAGTATATGTGTGTGTCAATAGTCCTACCAACATTGCGTGTGCAACCAGACTACATTGCCACGCCAACTGAGCATATATGTGTGTAACTAGTCCTGCCAACTAAATATCAATTTGTGTGCAACTAGACTACATTGCCACGTCAATTGCGCATATGTGTGTGCAACTAGTGTCCTGCCAACTAAACATCAATACGTGTGCAACTAGACTAAATTATAAGCCAACTGTGTTTATGTGTGTGCAACTAGTGTCCTGCCAATTAAACATCAATGTGTGTGCAATTAGACTACGTTACATGCCAAGTAAACATCAATGTGTGTGTAACTAGACTACATTACAAGTTATGACAATTCATATGCGACTATGCGGACCAGATTGTGCAACTCTGTGGCCGTGCATGTGCCAACTAGGACTACTATGTGTGCAACTACAACTACTGTGGATGCAGCTCCAAAAAACTGGGTTTAAAAAAGTTGCACCATGCAGTATTAAAGTTGCATAAAACAGTACTGAAGTTGCACAATATAGCATGAAAGTTGGCATCAAAATTTTTTTATCGAAACATACTTATGCGGAATCTAGTTTCAAAAATCTCGTCGCAAAGAATTCAACAGTGAAGACGGATCTGAATTCGACGCGCGGTTTGAAAGATATGGCTTTTTAAAAATTCAGAAAACCAAAATAATTGGACGTGAAGCTGTTTCTTTCAAACCAGACTAACTAATATAAACACATTAAATGCTGATAACGACATGCACTAGCAGACAAAAAAATACTTATGCATGGCTAGGAAGTCCGGCCGCTTTTCTCATCAATTAGTGCGCGGCCACTTTTTAGATTTTGGGAAATATGGATGGCCCTGGCCAGTGGTTCAGTGCTGCACTGGCAAAGTGGCAAGTGGTAGACATTGTTGGGCCGTGCGTAGTTCGGTCTCTTTGATACGGAGGAACCCAAGCCAGCTTCCCCACAGGCCCATGGATGCAGTAGCTCGCCTCGTCCCCTCTTCGCCCTAACTCGCCGGCGTCACCTGCTCCGCCCGCTCCCGCCGCCCCCATGCTCCCCCTAATACGCCGCCTCCCCGCCGCTCCCTCCCGCCTAGCCGCCCTCGCACTCCGCCGACCACACCGTCGAGCTGCGACGGCGGCCTCGACGACGACGACAGGGACACCCGCGGTATCCTCCTCCCGTCTCGCGGGCTCGCCGCCAGCAGAGAACCCAGCAGCGGATCAGGGGAGCGAGTTGGAGCCCCGACCCGAACCCCTGGACCGGGACTGGGGCTCAACGCTGTCCCGGGCGGACCTTACAGAGGTTGCCGGAATCCTCCGGCGGTTGCGCGACGAGCAGATCAGTCTGGGCCTGGGCACCTTCAATCTGCTGCTGAAGCGAGCGTGCGAAGCAGACGACTTCCTTCTCTTCGCCAAGGTATTCAGACACTTGCTGCTCTCCAAAGCTGCTCCCGACTTGACTTCCTACATGTGTGTCGCCAGGGCCATTGGGGGTCTAGATGACAATGAACTGTTACTCAAGTTTGTGAGAGAGGTATTGGAGATCACAAATGGCAGAGACCCCACGGTGGCGAATCGCATTGTTTTCGCCGCGGGTAGATATGGGCGCCTCGATAAATGCTTGATCATTTTCGAGGAGCTGAAGAAAGATAGGAGATGCTTGGATATTGTCACCTTCAACACTGTCTTGGACATGCTAGGGAAAGTTGGTCGGGTGGGCGAAATGCTTGGGGAGGTGAAGCTGATGGAGGAACTTGGCATTTCTCCTGACATCGTGACGTATAATACAGTGATAAACTGCCTGCGTAGGCTTGGAAGATTGAGTCTGTGCAAAAGCTTTGCAAGAGAGATGTTTGAGAGAGGCATCAGTCCGGATTTGAGAACGTATACCGCGCTAATTGATTGTTTTGGAAGGGCAGGGCATATTGCTGATGCCCTCGAGGCGTTTGAGCAGATGAAGAAGTCGCACCAACCTTCGATTTATGTCTATCGGGCACTGATCAGTGACATGAAAAAAGCTGGGCGGTTTGAGTTAGCAGAAAAGCTCACCGATGAGATGAATTCGAGTGCGTCTGATTTGTTAGGCCCTGAAGATTTCAGGCAGAAGTCCAAGGGAAGAAGGGCCAGGAACAGCAGCAGGTAAGAAGCAGAAAAGTTATCTTCCAGGTTTGTGTGATTCCTTCACATGCGATGCAACAGCTGCTGGCACCCAGTTCCCGACTTCCCATGGATACTGGTCTTGTTGGCTGACATCTTCAGAAGATGTATCATCTTCAGAAGATGTATCCTATAGGAAGAAGCAGAGAACTACAAAGTTCAGATGACAGTAGCTTGATGATTACAAAGACACTGCAATGATCCTGGAGCTACAGACCTGAATGGCGTATCATGACCGCAGGCCATTGCTGATCCATGATTCAAGAGATTCAGGCACACGAGTCAGTAGCAACTGCAGCAATTCCCAGTTAAGAAATATTTGGTGCATCGCTGGATTGTCGCTTGGAAGGTGCCCGTTACTGGAAAGAGGGGCCGTTGTGCTCTGAACTTGTGGGTGTCAAATTTTTCAGCATTTTACGTTGCTCTTCAGTGCACTGAAGAATAGTGAAATCTTGGCATCTGGTTCATTTTGTAGGCTATGCTTGTAAATCATTAGGCATAATAGCGAACAAATGAAATTTTACACGTGTAAGTTGATTCTATCCAAAATTTCTGGGATAATACCATCTTACAAATCGTGGGCCGGTGCACACTATGTGTCTGTCAATATGCCATGAACTCCTACTCCCTAGATTTTTTTTTTTTGCGAAACAACTCCTACTCCCTAGATGATGGTGTGATGCCATGTCATTTCCATGCAACGTGCAGTTTGTTGAAGTTTCTGTTGTTGGGGGTGCTGGATCGAGGATGTTTACTGCATGCTCTCCTAGGGACTAACTTTAGAAGATTTAATAAGTGAATGCAAACGGAGTCCATAATAATCACGAGATAGTGCGGGGCAGAGAAGAAATTCTAACATTTTTTTTCAGAATGTATGCTCGTATTTAGGTCACGAAACATTACAAAGTCCTGAACCGTACAAGCATGATTAAGCAGAATAACAAAGAGCACACTAAATAATAATAATAATAATAATAATAATAATAATAATAATAATAAGATCTTCGAAGCTCTGTGCCATCGCCCCTGAACCATTGTGAAAGACTCATGCAACAAAACAATCTGCGACCAAACCCAAGGAGGACATCATCTTTAACCACATCATCATCACCACCACACTGCTCCATCTTTTGTTTGCTCCGGCGCCAAAAGGACAAGGACACACTGGTGCATCCAACAAGCCTGTACCAGCCTTCGTTATCTGTGCCTTTCAGTACCGCCATATGTGTCCCTTTGGATGGAAGTATACCTGGCCAAACCTCGGGCTGGGCCTAGCCAAGCCCGAGGCAAAAAACTCAGGCCCGGGCCCGGGCTGGCCCGGCCATCGGGCCTGGTTTTTTAGGCCCGAGCCCGGCACGGACACGTAAAAGCCCGGCGCGCCTCGGGCCTCGGGCCGAGCCCCTTCAGGAAATCGTAAAAATGACGGGCCCAGGCCCGGCCATCAGGCTCAAAATCTAGGCCCGAGCCCGGCCCAGGAGCAGCGTCGGGCCGGGCCGGGTCGGGCTTTTTCGGGCCGGGCTTCCCATGGCCAGGTATAGATGGAAGAGAACTAGGATTCGGTAACGGCGCCGCGGTCGGGCCAACCGCCCGAGGAAAGCAAGGCATCCCTTCAGCAGCAGCACAAAGGAAAAGGAGGACCAATAACAATAGATCATACCGACGATGAGGAGGAAGAAGCTCCATCTCTGCAAAATCACCAACCACTCGAGGACTAGCCCAGCCAGTGTCGTTCGACCTCCAGACACCATAGCCCGCGACCTCAACGAGACTCGGGATTCACCAAACCGTCGGCTCCTAGACGGAGGCAAGAGTCTCGTCTGACAGCGTATGAAGCCCGAGGAAACTTATTCAGACACGACGCCGCCGAAACGGCCTTGACAACGTCTTTCTTAACCCTAATCCTACTATGAACACAACCAACACACAGATCCGAGGTTCCCCCTCCCTCCCGCCGCCGGAGGGTCGGCGGAGGGAGAGGGAACCAGCGGCACTGCTAGCAAAACACAAAAGGAGCCACGGTCGTCTCTTTTCGCCTCGCTACAATCCGTTCTTTGTGGAGGTCGCTCGTCTCTTCTGCACGAAATTTCGGACATTTTGATGGAAAAAGTTTTGGAAGAATTAATTAAGTGCATGCCAAATGAGAGATTCTTGCAAAAGAGAATTTATTTAGATCTATAAATCTAAAAAAATAGATTTAGAGAGTAAAACAAATTTAGGGACCCCCCTTGGCAGCCCAGCACATTCGTTTGCCCGTCAGTCAAACTCGCGGCGGCTCCATGCGGCCACTCCCGGCGTTCACGATCTCCCGCCTCGCCGCCGTCGGCGCGGACCCCTGCGGCGTGCCGCTCCCCGTGTTCAACTCCCTCCTCTCCAGCCTCGCCTCCTCCGACCCCTCCCACGCGCACCTGCCGCTCCACCTCTTCCGCCGCCTCCTCCTCCTCCCAGCCCGCCGCCCGGACGCCTTCACGCTCTCCTCCCTCGCCTCCTCCTTCCTCCCCCTCCACCCCCGCTCCCACGCCGCCGCCTCCCTCCACGCCTTCTCCCTCCGGCTCGGCCTCCTGCACGCCGACCCCGTCCTCACCAACTCCATCCTGCTCCTCTACCTCCGCTCGCCCCACCGCTCCTCCACCTCCGGCACGGCGCTCTGCCTGTTCGACGAAATGCCCGCCCGCACCGCCTCCACCTACAACGCGCTCATCTCCCACGCCCCCGCTGGCATCGACCTCCGGTCCCTGGCGCGCCACATGGTCGCGGACGGGCTATGCCCGGACAGGTTCACGGTCTCGGCGCTCCTGTCCGCGTGCGCGTCCGAGCGCGAGGGCAGGGAGCTGCATTGCTTTGCCGTCAAGCGCGGGATGTGCGGCGACGGCGATTTCCATGTCAGCAGCGGGTTTGTCTCCATGTACTGCAGGGTCTCCCGGCCAGACCTTGCGCGCAGGGTTTTTGACAGGATGCATCAGAGGAATGTCGTCTCGTGGACTGCCATGGTGGGAGGGTACGCCGAGAATGGCATGTTTGAGGATGCGGCGAAGGCTTTCCGGGCAATGTGGGCGGTTGATGGTATTCTGCCGAATAGGGTCGCGTTGATCAGTGTGCTGTCGGCTGTCGAGGGCCTCATGGGCTTAGCAGAGGGCAAGCAAGTGCATGGTTTCGCCGCGAGGATGGGGCTCTATGGGGAGGTGTCCCTCAACAATGCTTTGGTTGATATGTATGCAAAGGGCGGAGCCTTGCGTTATGCAAGGCGCATTTTCGATGATGGTACTTGGCGCAAAGATGTCATCTCTTGGGGTTCAATGGTACTTGGATATGGCCTTCATGGTATGGGTATGGAGGCAGTTGCCTTGTTTGATCAGATGCATGCTTCTGGGGTTAAGCCAGACAGCATAGTTGGTCTGGGTGTGCTTTCCGCGTGCTGCAGGGCAGGATTGGTGTTGAAGGGACTTGAGATATACAACTCCCTGGTGAAGGATCATAAAGTCCATCCAACCGAGGAGATGTCTGCTTGCGTAGTTGATTTACTGGGGCGTTCTGGGTTGATTGACCATGCCTTGGACTTCATAAAGTCAATGAGCGTAGAGCCAGGCCCTAGTGTATGGGGAGCACTTCTGGATGCCTCTGTTATTCACAGTAACAAAGAGACTCAAGATTTAGCTTGCAGGTCTCTTCTTAGATTGGAAGAAGAGAGCCCATCAAATCTTGTCTCGGTATCTAACCTACACGCCTCTTCTGGTAGGTGGAATATTGTTGAACAAGTGAGGGCAAAGATTAAACACGGAACATTGAAGAAAACACCTGGTCGCAGTTGGGTAAATGCAGCAATATAGTGACTATCACTATTCTTCTAGGAGTGAATTGTTCACGACTCTTTCAGTGGTTCAGAGCTCTACCAGCGCACATAAACTGGTATGCTCTGGAATCATTGGCATTGTACAGGACTACATCAAAGCAAATTGTACCATTGGCAGTTAAAAGAGCAGAACTGCTGTATTTACTCTATGCTCATACATGTACGTTCGGGCGGATGTTATTACAGCAAACGAAGTGCCTCTGCAACAACGGTGTGGTTGTTTGCAATGTTCACTCTTCCCATGTACTCTTACACCAGGTAAATATAACTTCTTATAGGTTCATTGTATGGTCTATTTTTTTTAATTGCTTCAGAAATTGGCGCTTCCTTATTTTTCACCAGAATTTGGTGTTTCTTTATTTTGTCATCACATGAAGTGATTGAGTTCCTTTTTCTAGGATAAGGAAGTGAGTTGCTAGATGAGGTTGAGTTGACAGCAGAACCAAGGATGGTCCAAAAGAACATTCTAAGCATAAGAAATTCCAAGAACCTAACTTCCCAAGAGCACTAGACCAAGAGCCACTGACCAGAAAAGATCCAGAAAATTTTGGAGAACATATAGCTTTAGAGAGAGACCATTAAAGAATGCTCAGATGGTTTGTGTGACCATCGACTGAAATGAGCTTGCACTAGTACTCACTTTATATGCAGCTGGGGCCAAAACAAAATTCTCTTTGACTTGAGTTTGGAGGTCTTTGTTTGTCAACAGAACATGTAATTTCCCAGTTTCTCTTGCACATTTATTCATTCCGACTATAAAATGGACGACAACACAAGACATTACTCTCTATGAACATATGGTTGGTCCCTCCTCCCTCTTGCCTTGGGACCGGCTACACAATTGTAGGTGTTACCTTAAAACATCATAGCTGGAGTTTGGTTTTTGAGTAGTAGATTTATAGTGGTGGAACTCTTAGCCGAGTCGGACTCACTGAGAACAGTCTGCTTCAATGGCAAGTGTTTTGGTGTCGCCATACCTTTTCAGAATCCTTCATCTGACAGTGAAACTGTACAACTATGGCTGTTCAGGCAGGCCTGCAGAGAATAAAAGGACAGCTTAGGAAATTATACAAACTTTGATTTGTTCAACTAAATCTAGATCTCTATATAATGGTAATCTCGAAATAGCTTTTAGATGACTCATATGGTTGCTTAGAAAGGGAATCTTAAAACCTCCTAGATGTCTAATATAATTCCTGTTGTACTATTTACTGCAGTCTGCAAAGTCAGAAATGCCACACATTGAATTCCAAGACTAATTTCCTGCGGCACTGATCCAAATCCATGTGCATCAACACTCCTAAGCCAGATTTATTGTTACAGATAAAGAGTCTGTATGGTGGTAGCTTCCTTGTTGCAAGTTCCACTGGGGTCTCCGAAGCTCGCAAACTTAACCCAAGAGATAATTCTGCCTTTGGGGCAAGGCAGCTCTACTTTTGCTGCTTTGCTATACCTGTGACCGTGAGAACCATTCCATGTTCCTGTCAAGATCCTTTTTCGAGTCATCGTAAAAAAATATGTACTGGATTAGGATGTTATGTAACTGAATCAGGTGCTCCCATGGTATTCTTGCTTAGCAAATTTGATTTAACTATCCTTTGGGAAGGTCAAGGAAGCTACTCGTTGATGGAAAGGACTCTGATTAACCAGGTGAGAGTCCCCGCATCTCTGTTTTCCATTCTTGTACAATTATGAACCTTCGGTAGCTCCGTACGAGATTGCTTAGACAATATATTTTGCGATCTTGCTGCTATTGCTCAATAACCTCCATCCTGAATCATCTTGTTTCTTCTTGGAACAGAAATGCCATGTGAAGAGCCACGACATCAAGAGGTATCTATGTTAGCGAAAAGGGCTCTATCAAATAAGAGTGGTGAGCTGCATTTTCCTCAGTAGCTCGTGCTCCCTCCATCCATATATATAATGCGTTTTTCGAGATTGCCTTTGACTATTGATAAGATTACTAGTATATGAGATGTATAATGTGGAAATTCTATCGTTGGAAGCTCCTTTCACATACAAATTTGATGATATGCTTTGTGTAACTTACATGTCATATTATTGCTCTAACATGTGGTCAAAGTTAACCTCGAAAAACGCTGGATAGATGGATAGTAGCAATTTTTTTTGCTGGGAGTCGTAATCAACATGATCTGTTGACACTACTAACTCGGGATCTCAGATTGGTAGGGTTTGATCTCTAAGTCTGAATCTAATTTTGCCGATCTGTTACTGTACATGGCAAGAAGAAGTGACGATCCAAGTGACAGAAATTCAAGTATTCCGAGAAAAAGACCAGGAACTGTTTTAACAATCTTTCGTACTGCCATGGACGCCAGGTTACGTAGTACTCCCTCCGTTCCTAAATATAAGTCTTTTTAGACATTTCAAATAGACTACAACATACGGATGTATGTAGACATATCTTAAAGTGTAGATTCACTCATTTTGCTCCGTATGTAGTCACTTGTTGAAATCTCTAGAAAGACTTATATTTAGGAAGAGAAGGAGTATTTACCAGTTAATTGCCCGTGCATTGCAACGTGGTATGCATATTTCAGTGGTTCATCATGCACATTACAGTATTTAGTTAGCATTGGAATGTGTTGTTTTTCTCGAGCAAGCTCCTTCATTCCAACGACAACTTATTTCATGTGCTTGGTGAGGGATGCGAGGTGCATTAGCAATGCACCACATCTCATGATGTTGCTCAATGCGAGCTTCTTTGTCTTGGCTCTCTTCTCTTCCCTTTAGCTTTGCTCTTGAAGGTTGTAGGTGGCAGCACGGAGAGATCGGTGTGCTTGATTTGCTTGGTCCACACTATGGGCTTCTTGCCGGTGTGCCTCACGTTCTTCATCTTGGTGGCGTCACTCTTCTTGTTGACGATACCGTTCTTCCTCTTGGTTCATTTGACGGTCGTAAGTGTCATGTTGTTCTTGAGCTTCACGTTGTTGTTGTTCATTCTCAAGGACGCGATCTTGCAATCCATTGCCTTGAGGAGGATTTAGAGCAAGATATCCTTATTGTTCTTCATGATGATGATGACGTCGAGACCGGTATGTACTTGCGCCGGATGGTAGCTCGGATGAATTTGCAATTGAACGCAGTCTTGAAAGTGATGAAGATGAAGAAGGCTTGCACTTGTCGAACTTGTCTTGAATGCGGTCCATATGTGCGTCTAACTTGGCGTTGAGATAGTCCCCCGTGAGATCTTCATATTGGTGCACATCGGTGGCGAGGTGCTCATTCAAGATTGCGTTTGTGCCGTTCATAGCTCATTGTAGTCCGAAGTGGCGAGACTTGGTGACATAGTCGTTCATTTCTTCTTGGCCGTCGAAGACCGGATGAGATGTACCGTCCTTACCTATCAAAGCACTCAAGAAGGTCTGAGTAGAAAATGAGATGAACAATAGCAAAGTTACCTTTCTCCGATGTTGGCGAAGGATCGATAGATCTCATAAGTTGTCGATGCAAAGTGAATAACTTGGTAATTGTTGTTGTCAAACACGTACACCTGACACAAAGCTTATGGAGGATCTTGCTAGGGGTTAGGCACCAAACCAAGCAAATTGAAGTTGAAGGTTCTTGTACAAGTTGGAAATGAACCAAATTGAACTCAAATACTATACAAGTGATCGCACGTAAGGAGAAAGAGGAAAAATAAAGTACACATGCGTAAAGATATCTGGGTTTGTGCAACCAAGAAAATGAGCATACAAGATTTTCCTAGGAAGACTAAGCTTGTGTTCATGAATGCTAGGAGACGCTAGCTTGATTGCACTTTTTTTGACGGAACCTCGTCAGAGGGCGGGGAGCTCCCGCATTGCATTAAGAAGAAGAGAATTGGTCCAGTTAATAAGGGAAACCGGACCCAAAAACCGTACATGGCACGGTTAATCAAGGGAAACTGGCGAAGACCACACACACCCGACTAGCACTCAAGGAACATCGTCCGATCCGGATACAAGAGTGCCTAGGCCCAAGACCATCGACAACACAACATACCCAGCCAAATCAATCTCTGCAACCTCAAGAACACGCCTGCTAACCTTCAGAAAAATGTCATCACACATTAACCTCCACCAAGGCACGAATTGCCTGGATCGCCGTCGACGTGAGCGGTTTCTTGTACATCTGCAAATAAGTCTTCATCTTCTCTTGCACATCCTCCTCGGTGACTTTCTTAGATGTCGTTCCCTTCGGTAGCTCTCCAAAAGCCTCCGCCAACCTATATTCAGCACGCTTGGCAGTCGGGATGTTGCAACTTTTGTTCTTCTTATCCAAACGTCCACTACGCCTCTCGGGACAAGTAGATGCCCCTTCAATCTGCACATGAATCGGTGCTTCAAGCAAGGACCGCGGCGCTGTGCAACTGAAACTACTTAGGAACTCATCCAACAAGGTGGTTGAAGCCGGACCTTGAGGCATGCCAATGTTACCAAGTAGCTCCTCGGACACCCAAGACATCATATTGGTAGTGCCCCCTGAAGAAAGCATCACTGGAGAGGATACCAAAGATGCCACAACCCAGGCACCTTATAGGGTCGCGGCAGTGGGCAAAACCACCTCAATCTGCTCCATGTCCTTACTCACTTTGACTATCTCCTCAACCGTTCCTTGCTCCTCCTCGTGTTGAATCATCATCTTGTGCAAAACTACATCCAAAGTAGGAAGAACATCTGCAGGAAGCGCCATAGTAGCCAGTACCTCAGACGAGCAACCAACCACACTAGTCTCACTGACACCCTTAGCACAAGCAACAACAAGAGGTGCCGGTTCCTCATGCTCACACCAGGGGGGAGGCGGATCCATCGGCGCCGAGGAAGAGAAAGGTCCCCCACCGATCCTCAAAGTCCCATCCTCCTGCACCTCAGGAGACCCATTGATGGCCGGCGAAGAAACAACACTGCCACTGATAGCCTCCAGCCGCTCTAAGAGGCTCGAAACCTGAACCGCCCAACCCTGCAGAGCGAACGCCATGTCGCGGAGAGGCTGAATGACCTCCTCTGTACGAGTGGCAGCCAATGCTTGCACCTCGGTGTGCAAGGCCTCGATCTGAGCTGCAAAGTGGGGTTGCAGCAGCCCCAATTCAGCAGCAATGGAAGACTTGACGAGGTCGGCAAGACCTGAGCAGGGGGAGCCGGAGTTGCTACAAGGCGCCTCCTGAACGAGCACAGCCGGAGAGGCAGCAACGGAGGCCCACGAGCGATGTGGCGGATATGGCGGAGGTGCGTGGCAGGGTGGCGCATCCGGTGACCGACGTGGAGAGGCCGCATGCGAGGGGGAGTGGGGGGTTGAAGCTTGTTTGGCCGGAAGGCGCGTCGGGCACTCCCGCTCGCGGTGGCCAGAGATGCCACAACCCAGGCACCTTATAGGGTCGCGGCAGTCAGCCACAAAGTGCTCCGACGCGAGGCAACGGAAGCAGCGGCCATACGTTCTCCTCTTGAAGGCGAGGGAGACACCGACCCCTTTCCTGGGAGATGGAGCAGGCGCCTTCTCCATCCGCGAACGACGCTGTCCCCCAACCTCCACCCAAGGCTGCTCGGAAGACGTCACAGGTGCCTCGGCAACCAGCTTTGGCGTAGAGTTCGCGGGAAGGCGAGGTGGAGGAGGTGGCAGCAGGAGTTCAGAGCACCCCAGGGAGCAAGGGACGGGAGCCTCCAGCCCTCCAACGGCGGCAGCAAGCGAGGGATCTGGATCTGGATCGGGAGGGGGGCAGGGAGCGGGGGGTGGAGGTGGAGTGGTGGCTGGGAGGGCTGTTGGGGAGATGGAGGAGGAAGCCGAGGAGGCCATGAGACAATGATGAGGAGGAGCTCGGGGATCGAATCTACGCGGCGGCCGCAGCGGCGGCGGCGGCGTCGCGGGACACCGATAGGATATCAAGCTCCATAGCACTTATAGGGCAAGATTCCTAACTTGGCACAAATCCTACGTATGCAAGCGTAACATGTCCTATCCAAGTATGGTTTGCACAAGTATCTTTTCTTGACCACTCTTTGTTATAACTTACAATTCTTTCTTTTTGTAGATCCTTCTATATTTTTTTTCTCTTCCTTTCCACTATTTTTTTGAGCGTCGACCAAGTATGCTCTAGCATCCAAAAACCAAGGCGCACAGGCATTTCCAGAGGGAGTATTTACCATTTGTGGTGGGGGGATGGGGGCCTAGGGTCAGAATGACCCATGCAACAAGTTCAGGTAAACCCTATTTACAGTTTAAGCATTGGACGTAGCAGTAACAGATACACAAAACAAACGGTCAATCTCATGCCACGGGCCACAACTTTGCCTTGGATTACTCTGCATCTAATGATGCCAACTTCCTTTATTTTCCTTGGTCTCAGAAGCTAGCTCCAGGTAGATCGTACAAAATAACAATTCAAAGCTTCACGCCATGGAGAGGTTAAGCAGATCACGGTGTCGGTAAGACCCGAGGATACACGCAAAACGACATTTGTAAGAATTGAGGGCACCCACAAAATGAAATTAATGTAAAGGACGATAATGTAGTGAAATGCTACACTATCATTTGTTGCTAACTGCTTAGTATTAGACACCATACATATGGTAACTAACAGAAATATATTAATATTTATATGCAGCATTTATTTACATATAAGGAAATACGCAACCGGGGTAGCATATGCGCGGTAAGTATCTAACCTGTTGCAATGGTTGGTGAATGATATTATACAAGAAATCAACAACGTTTGTACACAACCAGAAACTAAATTATGAAAAAGGGAAGCACAGCTCAGTACCAGATCAGGAATGTTTTGTATCCACCTACGATATGGTTTGTCAACAACCTGATATAGACCAATAAGCAACACAAAATGCTAGACTATTATAGAAGGAGCTAATATAAAAGAAACAACAATATCCAAGAGATAAAATGCCTTACCTTTTCGAAAACTTGGTTCCATGAGCACGAGTCATCCTTCATAAGTGACGTTGCCCGGTAATCCTGACATTTATAGAATATTTGATTAAGGTTTATGAATTATTTGAAGCACACACAGTATTGACAAATAAAATTCAGACAATAATTCCACGAATAACATAATATTTTGGAAGATCAAGACCAACAAAAACTTGCTTGTCGAATTTGTACACCAGTTGTGAAAAGCATTTCTTGTCCTACAAAAAAAAAACATGCAACCAATGAACGTTACAGAAGTAGGTCAAGCATTTGTTAATTCCGCATGCACTACTGAGCAAATATAAAGTGTTTATTGACGAGACAAGTACCCAATCGATAGAATCATCCACAATGCTGAAAAAACCTTCGGCCTCCAGCTCACACATCAAACTTTGAAGTCCAATTCTCAGCTGAAAAAGTTGAAGAATTCACTATCAGATGGTTAACAACAAGCATGCAGGTGCATATTTGCAACTTCAAAGACCAATGCAAGTTGAATTGAGCAAGCTTTAAAAATATCAAATCTTGGAGGATAAATGACAATTGGTAGATAAGTTTTGGTGCTGCTTAGAGAAAAGTGGAGAAAATCAATAAATTGGAGCAGCAGCAAAATTGGCATGCTCCTTTTTCTGCATTACCTATTGGAGATTTCCAAGAAAAAGTTTCATGTAAACTGAGTCCTACTCCCTCCTTTTTTATGTACAATGCTACTATCAGAATACGAAAAACGCACAAATACAAGGCAAGATTTCTTTTCCCTCACCCTCCCAGAGGAAAAAACTCTCCGTTTCCACCTCTCATTAATAGCTCAGGGACTGCATGCATATGTGTTCTCTTGTTTCATTGGCTAGCATGTGCATGCAGCAAGGACATACATACACGAGGAGATGCAGCGGGCAATGAACATGTCATTTATCAGTTCTCTCTGCTCAGCCTTGGTATCTGAGATTTGCTAAAATGGCCTTGTATAAGTAGAAGGAGGGAGCACAAGATATTAAGAATTCCATACACAGCTTGAATGTCAATAACATTGGTTCTACAGAATTTGCACAGGCCCAAAGCCCAAAGCCCAAATCTTGCATAGCTGGTAAACAGCATATGTTCGTCAGAAGAATGTTTGGATAATCAGAACTACAAGATCAGCAAGCCGTTATGAATAGGCTTGCAGAGATTCCGCTGCGATCGAGAATGTGTTGTATAGTCAAGCAACGACGGCCTACCGGTTGATTTTGCTCATTGGAAGTAAAATGACTAGTGTACTGAATGCAACAATATCTCCAAGGCAAATCAAGCATAGCTCAAAAGTAAAGATGTTTTCACTTTTGCGTCACATAACCAACTTAACCTAATTGTTGGTAAAACTTGGAATCTTAAGATGTGTGCAACAGATAGAAATAGTGAAACAGAGCGAGTATTGGAGTATGTTTGCAGTGATACAGTTAAACTGGTTTGTAAAATGTGGGGAATTTGTCGCATCATCCCCAAATGGATGCAAAGATCTTATGTTGCACACTTCATTAGTTGGATATAGTACAAAAAAAAGCTGCAATTTTCCTACTTGTCATGCTAACTAAATATAACTAGTGTGTTCTGAAAGCAAAATATGGGAGTGTAAACGTCTTAAATTTAGGGTACATACATAAATTACTCTAATGTATAGTAGTACTAAATAGAATTTCTGTATAGTATATTCAGCAAAAATCAAGGACAAGCAGAAAAAAATAGAATGCACACCTGCTCATTGTGAACAACTTGTCTCAGATGTTGATAATACGAAGAAAGTTGGTCTTGCCTCCCCAGAAGTATAGCTCTTCGCTATAGAAAGGTACATTGCGATGAATACATTTCCATGAAAATATAGTCCATAAATAAGGGTAATACATTGACCAAATTAGCACCTCAAAAGACAACTTAATGAGAGTATGATCCAGAACTGAAAACCGACTGTGTATAATATCATCATCAAGAATAGCATTCAGTGCATCACCCTGTGAACCTCAAAAGACAAGTGAATGAGCCAATATATTTGCAGACACATATTACTTACATTGGCATTTTTCCTACCATTGAATAACTAACCTTGCAGATAAAATGATCTAATGCACCTGTAGACACATGTGCATCAAATTCCCCATGCAATCTTGCCTGTTCTTTTGCCATATGATACTGGAAAGAGCAACAGTTTCATAACAAAACAAGATGTACCCAAAGTGACGCATTTCACATATTAGTGTTTCTTCATAAAATTTAAATAATGATACATTTTAGGAAATATCTCCATTCTCTCACATATTTTTAGGCAAAATCTCTGCTGTATGCTAATGCATTTATTTCAGCAGGCTCTCCCTCAATTCGCTCTTCAAGGAAATATTCTTTCAACCATTTCAAGGATTTATGTCCAGGAAGTAACTCCAATATAGATAAGATTTTCATATAAAAAATACACTAAATGCAGGACGAAGACTTTGCTCCTGTAATTACCAAGAAAGGTGCAGAATAATTTACTAGGCACATAAAACAGGTCGCTAAAAATAATGCAAGAATAATTT